CCCCCCCCCCCTGCCAGTCCAAGAAGCTCTGAACTATGATCCAGTTTTAAATGGTTGTATGTGCAGCATCATAATATTTCACTGGGTGTGCACAGTGCTCACGACAGTCAACTAATAAAGTTGCTGAAAATTGCTTGCATAGAGAAAGCTCCAGTCATCTTTCCTATACATCTAATATGCTTAACCATGGAACTGTAGAAGAGAAGACGGCTTTTCAGTCTTTTGCCTTTATAACTTTTTCAACTGTATTTCAGTCTCCATTCTGCTTATTGTGAAAAAAATGGCTTCATATTTGCTACATACTGCTTAATTTTATTTTGCAGTTTTTGGGTGAAAAAACATAAATGATCTAAATTAGCCCTCAGTCAGCAGATATACAGTTGGAGTCAACCATAGCCTTAATGTAAGAGCATAAAGGGGCATTTTATTACAAGACGTGTTACAGCTACAGTTTTATCTACTGTCAGTTAAATAATTACTGTCATTATGGACATTTAAAATTTAAGGGTATAAGGCCAGGAGCTAGGTTTGAAAGTCATCCCTGCTTGTCATTAGACAATCCTCACTTATTGTAAATCCCCAAAATACCAAACCCTAAATAACTGTGAAACAGCAATCTTTTATTCAGCAGATCCTCACTGGCAGCTGATAATGTTAGTGATGGTGCTGGTGTGTGTGTGTAAGTGAAGAGAGGAGTGTCTCTGCGTGGGTGGTGTTGGGGAGTTTGAGGTGGTCACACCTCGGTGCTGATGGCTCGAGTGTTGATGTAGAAATCGGGAGGCCGGCCTCGTAGAGTCTCCCTCAGCAAGGAGCCTCGGACAGCGGGCAGCGGCATTGCCAGCGCCTGGTTGTCATAGTGTGTGGGCATGTAGGTGATGCGCTCGCCACCGTTGTGCATCTCATCAGTGGTATGGATGTAGAAAGGGGAATCATATGGTGAGCAGGTGGGGCAGTAGCTGCGGCGCCCCCCTGTGGGCTTGGTGGGGTTGAACGACCACGACGGCCCTGGAGGCGACAGGGACAGTGGGGTGACTGTTGTCCCGTCCAGGCCGGTGACACTGCACGCATTGCAGGTAAAGTGTTGCTGAGACATGGAGCTGCTGTCAGACTCATTCTTCTTACAGCAGTAATACTACAGAAAAAGAAAATCATAGTTTCCCTGTCAAACAAAAACAGGTTGTGACACAGCTACAGCTGTATGACAGGTGTGCAACACCAAGCTCATTACTGACAAATGAAGAAATCTGAGATCACTAAACTTATTCTCAATATAATCAACATAGAGGAATTAAAAAGCTTCAAGTGCATAAACATCTACAGTATTTGCAACTATTTTTAACAAATCATAATTTGATGAATATGATGTTACAAGTTGAACAACAGGAATTTAAACACTTATCAAAGAAGGAAATGGTGTTTTTTTGTCAGGAAGGAGCGAACGTTTATGCACATATAAACAGAGTAATACCTGGAGTCTACAGTAACAGAGCACAGCTATGATACACAGAAGTATCACTGTGGCCAGTATTCCTCCAGTTATGACAACAGTTCCAGCTGTCATCCGACCAGCTCTCCATCAAACTCTGACACAGACACAGGAAATGACATCATCAACCAGCAGCTGCTCAAAAGACTTAAAGCTCAATCAAATCAAAGGTCAGTGTTACTGTAATTACAGACACAATCTGAAGGAATATATTTTCTACAAACTCCAAAGGTCATTTTGTGATGAGGATGGAGATCATGCAGTCACTGAATCGCATGCAGACGTACATTATGAGTAGCTGGAGATCCCTACAGATGTTAATTATCAACATAGAGACACAAATACATATTTAACTCAGATTTTTGTAGGTGAAGTGACATTATATCTTAACTTGTCTGAATATATACATACTGTACAGTACAGGCAACTTTATTTGAAATTTGTATCTAAGTTAATGTCACTGTTTTTTTAAACATTAAGATAACTTCAGCATTATTCAAAATTCACATAAAAAATCACATTTTATATTGACATAACATCAAAAACTCATTTTCCTGTTTGCATAAACATTACAGACTAAACCTGGTTGTGATAATTGTTACTCACGTTCAGCAAAGTTGCTTAACACCTGAAAGTAGAGAAATAACATGCTGTTAAATGATAGATAAAGAGATAGATAGATAGATAGATAGATAGATAGATAGAGAGATAGATCTACATCAGAAAAGTGTCTTGAATGCTTTAGAGTGAAGAGAAGTGGAAGGGAAGCAGGAAATGTGAAGTGGGACAGATTAAACTGAAGAGTTTATAAAAAACATTTTTCCCCACAAGGTGGTGCCAAGAGAACAAAAAATGTCTTGAAGCAAATGTTCAGTATCTAATTGTCAGTGAAATCAGAAATGGAAGCATTCACAAACTTGTAGACAGAAAGGAAAGAAGCTGAGAATCAGAGTATTTAGAATGAAAGCGTCAAACATATTTACTTTAAAAATCTGTGTTAAAATCTTCAAACTTCTTGAGCAACATCTCTCTTATCCACATCCAAACACACACACACACACGCAGCTTTGTGGAAGAGCACCAGTAAAAGTGGTTTAGTGGCAAGGGGCTCAGTTGGTGAGGGGCTGAGGCTGGTCCAGGTGAAGGGAAATCCATTCCATCTGATAAAAACATGCCAAATTCCTGACTGCCTTGGAGGGGGAGGCATTTTTGTGCATGGAGGCAACAGGCAGGATAAAAAAAAAAGCAGGAAAGACCAGCTGGAGAAGGTTAGAATGTCATTAATGATTCTTGCTGTTTGATGTACAAATGGAGCAATGTGTTTGTGAGTGCATCATGCTTTCATGTGGGAGGTTTGTCCTGTACATGTGATGTGATAGACGAAGTCTGTCAGTCCATCATGGTGCTGAATGTCAGTGAAGTAATAAGATCTGGCCTCACTCAGTTAGAGTGCCTGACTCTGCATTTGGGCTTTGTTGGATATGTGGATATATGGAGTCTGTTATATCGTGGAATGTTTTCATCATAAGGGGGCGAATGTGGTTCAGTGGGTATAGCGGTCGTCTCCCAAACAGAGGGTCAGAGGTTCAAATGTCGGTGCCTGTAGTCCACGTCAAAGTGTCCTTGGGCAAGACACTGAACGCCCAAGTTGCCCCCAATGGTTAGAGCCATCAGATGGCTGCCTCCGTTTCTGTACCAGAGACAAATTCCTTGTGTGTAACATACTTGGCCAAATAAAGGTGATTATCCTGATTATAAGGATCAATGCTAGAGCATGAATGAGATATAGAAACGATACAGGGACTACAGATGAGGCAGGTTGAGGGTAAGTCCAGCCATCCATCCATTATCTATACCCCGTATTCCTGAATAGAGTCGTGGGGGGCTGGAGCCTATCCCAGCTGACATTGGGTGAAAGGTGGGTTACACCCTTGATAGGTCGCCAGTCGATAGGTTGAGGGTAAGTGAGCTCAGCAAAACAACATCAATAAAAAACCTACATTAAAAATAACTCCAGAGTTGTGGTAACCATCTCAAACTGAAGATCTTGTTTATTTAGATTGAATTACATTTTTTTAAACCAGAGAATCTGAAATCTTTAAACAGATGTGAGGTGGAGGTGCTCTCTGATTCTCAACTGAGGAGGCGGCGCCACTCACCAAAGCTGTGATCTGAACTGCTGCACTGACGCTGAGCACATAAACCATGTTTCTGTCAAAATGTACACTAGCCTTCAATTATTTGCTGAGACCAGGTGGAGATGGCAGCCTGCAGATCCCTCTGAGCATCATTTATCATCGCTCTCCCCAGTGCGTGCAGTCTCAGCCTCAGTACACCAAACCATTTTTCATAATTAATGCCAACACAGTGACTTGCACTGCAAGGAGGAATAGAAATGGAGTCATCGCTGTCATCACGTCATCCTTTATTCAGACAGACACAAACAATGACACAGATTTGTTTTACTTCCTGTTTATATGTTGCTTTGCAAGTATGTTGTGACAAAGTTGTTGGTTAGACTTATAGATTTACTTCATTTGACAAACTATATCTGCATCAGCAGACATGCATACACACACACATAGGCATGCTGAGCACTAACAGAAAGAAAGCTGGATCCGTCACCACTGGGTCCAGATTAGAGCGGCCCTCAATACCCTGTACTGACTGAAGAGCCGTGTGTACTGATAAGACTGGCTCTCCTCCCACTCTCTCTCGCTCTCTCACACACCCACACACAATGCATATATGCAGTAGTCATGTATTACTGAATGTGTTATGTTGGCGTTGGCATTACTGCTACAAGAACAGGATCAACAAGTGTGTTAAAAAGCCAGGCTGTAATACTGAGCTGACTCCTGATTCACTGGAAACTGTTTGAGAAAAGAACCAGAAGAAGAGTACAGACCATAATTCAGTTCGAGGATCATCCTCTGTTTAGTGTTTTTAATGATCTAAGATGTGTGATGAGTGATTGCCTCAGGATGCCAAGGTGCTCCACAGAACAATTTACAGCTTCATTTGCACCTACAGCTGTGAGAATGATATAGATATTTAATGTATTTTGTTAATTTGTTGATTTACACTGTAATTATACAGACTGAGCAGTGCAACTAGATCAGTCCCTGAATTGAACTCCACTATGTGCTATCTGTCCCTTATGGCTTTTGTTTGTTTGCTTGGTGTTGTAGCCCATCTATCTGTCTATCAATGCTTAAAAATGCAACAGAAACAATGGCACAAAAATGTATACATCTCATATACTTTTGGTTGTACTACGTTGTATTACACTGCATGTCATGCACTTCACCGATATATTACATTTCATTTTATGATACATGATATGTATTATCATGATAAACAGATTTTGTCTGAATGAGAAAATCCCTTAATGCTGTAAAAGTACAGGATACCCAGGCACTGTTTTAGGAAAATATGAGTGATGAGAATATCTCTCCAGCTGCCTCCCTCCCTCTGTCTCTCTGCCTCTTTGTCTGATGGAGTGCTCCCTGTGGAGTCTCGGCCATCAGTCTTTAAGAGAATCTGAAGGACCTTGACTGCCCTGGAGGATTTTTACAAAATTGATTCGTTGGATCTTAAATTGCTCAGGCCTAGCAGTCATCTTGTGTCAGTCTCTGCTCCACCAAACACACCACAAACACACTGTCCTGTAACATAAAGGCCTCAGGTTTCATTCGAGCAACGTGTCCTCCACAGCTCTATGGCAGCTGTGGAAAGCGGAGAGAAAACAAGCTGCACATCCAAATGAGATTAATGTTCACAGCTGAAATGTAATTTGACTAATTCTGCTATCTGCCATTCCAAAGGCTTTCCTCTATCTGCTTCCTCTGTAGCTGCCCGGCATGGGCATGTAAATGAGGGTTTGTTTACATGCATGGGTGTGAAACAAACAGAATTGAGGGGTCATTTTAGAAATTGTGGTATTCATTTTGTTCACTATAAAAGTAGAATCATGGGTAAAATGTAAAAATAGAAAAAGAACAGAGCATAAAACTGTGCTGGGAAGGTTAACACAGTGGCAGCTCCAAAACCTGCATGGAAAAAATATTACAATACCAAGAGTGATAATTCACCTGTCTGAAGTTCAAAGTGTGCTTTCAGTTTTATAGACAGTCATTTTATCAGTGTGGTTTATGGAAGAAATGCATTTTGGGCAGAGAAGCATTTTTTTTTCTTGCAGTACCCATGAGTGGCCACTGGGAAAACATTAGCTAAAAGGCAGAGTGGCAGCACTGTATCTGGCTTTCAAACAGTACATCCATCATAGGCCTACTATGTCACCTGCCTTCCTCCTTTGCTCATGTAATAATTACTATAGTTGCTTGAGGTTGCACACATTGCAGTTGGCTCTAACAAACTGCTGGCACAAATGACATATAGACTCATTTTTTACAGGAAAGTCTCAAACACTTATGTGACCTTGAACACCTTCTTCATGTACTGAGGGACCTACAGGAGCTCAACCAACCATTATCCCATCTTCCCTCTTAAGCTACCGCGGCAGTTACTCTGCAGTCCAGTGGACAAAGATTGACGACACTTAACATTTTAGTTCAATTACTTGAGTTTGCTCTAGAACAGTTGGTGCAAAGAATGGAATGAATGTAAAGAATCACTCGCAGAATAAGCCTCCTCTGCCCAGGACCAGCACTGGATCGATATGAGCGGTAAATCAGCTATATCCCTGTGAAGATGGAGAGAAGAGGAAAGACAGAGAGTTGGAACACAACTTTTAAGTCTTTTTCTTCAGGACTATGTTCTGATGCTGTATACACTGCTGGCAGATTTATGAGTGGTGTACATTATGCTGCTATGCAGCTCCCCAGGCTACTGTACTCCAGCCTGCCAGCTCCTGATTCAGCCTTTCTACACACTTGCTGTGACTCATGATGCAGTGAATACCTTTATTCACAGGGTAAGTGAAAGAGTCATTAATCATGGTTCATCTGTACCTTTTATTCACATCAAATTACATTTCCTCCCTTTCCATAGAATACTATCACCAGATATCCAGGCCAATTGGATTGGTATGGGTTTCTTAAATCCCTTCTACCCTCTTTGGCTCTACAGCACTTTCACCCAGATTATAACCACTGCTACTGCTGCCGGTGTGATAACTGTACAGCTATTGTGACATCTCCTACAATCACATTTACTCCCATTACACTACAACCTCTGCCACTACCATTTCACACTTTATGGTAAAAAAAGGCATTGTGCAGTTTTTAAAATGCTTCAGAATTAATGTATGTATCTGGGGGTTTTTGTTGTACTCTAACGCTTTTGGGGCGAGTAACTATCCGCCTGATGGAAAGGACCTCAAGACAACTGAAACAATCTACAGTGTGAGTACGGATGGTCTCATATAAATGAATTGTTGTTGGTAGCAGATAACATGTGACAAAGGAACATAATGATTTAACATTTTGCATTTACTCACACACCACATCAGTGAAAGAGCTGCTGTCTGGTGAGTCCATTAAAACCCACAGTGGGCACAAGGGCTGTGGCAGAAAGTTCATAAACTAAGACAGAATGGAGGATTTGCTCAGACATGGTTCACTTACCAGTGTGATTAGGTGTGACGAGGAACGAATACAACCCACT